AAAAATAATGGAAAGAAGAGGACGAAGTAGAAATGAAATTCCTAGGAAGCAACGTTGCATTAATGGAGAAACATGAACTGCCAGCATTCTTTCTTTAATCGGACACCATTTGAAATAATCCGTAAAGCAATGAATGACAAATAGGGGTAGAGATTAATGATTATCGAAAAGCAAAAGAAGAAACGCAATGCAAAAAATTACATTGCATATATTAAACATTTTAACTATATTCTAAAGATTATAAAGATAAAACGTTTATTTGATTTTGTTTTTAATCAATATTGTATTTTGTTTCTCTTATTAAATTATTGGGTTTTGATATTTAATTATGATTTATTTATTGACTTTAAAAAATTTGCATATTTTATAATTTTTTTTCGTGATATCTGTAAATTAGAATTTTTGAGAATTATAATTTTTTATATTTAATTTTTTTTCTCGCACGCGCGCGCATATTATAATTTTATATAAAAAATAATTTCAGAAACGTCTGTTAATTTAATGCTCAGAGTTAATCTATATTTTATTCTACTATAACAACCTGAAAAATATATGCTGCAAATATATGAGGAGATATTGCACGGATTGCATTCTACGTATTTACAAGAATATCTTTGTAGGCGAAGATCTTTAGGATTACAAATGCTTGGGACACTCTTTCTTCTCAGCGACTTCTTCGGTGGGATACATGCCGAAACGATCTATATTCTAAGTGATAAATATTTACTTGAGAATCGCACTCACGATGGAATCGCTGTCTGTGCCAAGATTTAGCATTAAGTGTTTCGACTTAAAAATTTCACAAAGATTAGATCCCATCGTCGTACGTTTGCCGTCGTACGCTTATTAAATGACGCGCGTTTTCTTCCTTTTAAGATGAGATCATAAAGATGGAGAAAAAGAAAAAAAGCGCGGCAACCAACGGAAAACCCGGCGGCGCCAAGCACAATCGCGGTGCCGGACGAGGCCGGGGTGGATTTAGAGGAAGAGGTGCAAGAATCAAGCGCAATGTCGGGGCCATCCTGAAGAAGCAGCAGCAACAGACCTGGCAACGTAATGCGAGTACCGCAGGCAACGCTCGCGGCGGTTTTGCTCGGAATCGCTTTAAGAGAAATGGCAATCTCACGAGATCACGTAGCAACTTGAGCTTGAATTATAAGCCAAATAATGTGAGAGGAGGCGCGTTCAATGTGCGTCGTGGCAGAGGCAACAGATTCGGCTTGACTCGCAGCCGGAGTCGTACAAACCTGACGTTCAATCAGGGCGGCTTCTTCACGAACAATAAGAGCCCGCTGAAACGAACAAACAGCTTGCCCAATCTACGAGATCCGAATTCTGTTCACAATCGCCTGGGCTATCAGAGCCCTGCTCAGATTGCCTATCGAAATCGTGTGAAACGAGCGAAGCAGCTGTTGTTGCAGAGGCAGAATCAGAGACTGAACTTGCAGAATCAATTTAGAGTGAGTGGAATACTCGGACATACATATGACAAATATTCTACATGCGAAAATTACTTATTAGATACTGACGATGCGTGTATAAATTGTTACAGATGACACAACCCGGCCAGAAGAAAGTTTTACTTTCGATGCAGCCGAGAACTTTGGGAAGGCAACAGATACTAACGTCGCAACGTCGCTTCACGACCGGTGGACTACGATCCGATCAGATCGCTCATGCACAGAGACGGGCACAATACGAACAGAAACTTCTACGAATGAAGTAGATGATACTTTGTTATATTTGTTGCATCAAATTAATTCATTAGGCTGGTTACTCTTTCATATTAGTATATAATTGAGAAGTATAAACCTTTTGTTTGGCTTTATAAGTACAGATTTATTAATAGTTTTATTGATGCTAAAAACGGGAACTAATTTTGTCCTTTTTGAGAGACAGGATATTTAAAGTAAAATATGTTGTAGTGCTGCGCGGTTGAGCTCTACTCCAAACGTCAATTTCATGTGCACATTGGGAAGCGAGTATGTACCCACCACTACACGCCAGCCACCATTCACCGTTGCACAGAACCGACAATTACTAACAACTATTACTAACCCGCCTAGAAGACGATCGCCATTCAGGCAAAATGCACAGCCTTTAAACATGGTATACAATTTTCAGTTAAGATTTCTCTAAAATGTATATATTTCATTCTTTTTTTTTCTATTTTAACCCATTAAGTTTCATGTAATTTTTATGCGATTTTCTGTTTTAAATTCTTGTAACTTGGATTCTGATCCAAATTTTTTTAGATCGCAATTAATATTTAGAGGTAAAAAAAGAGTTGCTTTTTGTAGAAAGATATACAGATTGAAAGTAAAGATAAAAAAGTAAAAACCACTACCTTTTTACTGATAAATATTTAACTAATAAATAATTTCGTCTACTTTTTTTTAGTAGAATGAATCGATAGGGATGATTATTATTTGAGTGATTTTTAGAATAATTTTAAAAATTCATGGGGATCAAAAAGTATGAAAGTGAAAAAAAATTTTTTTTTATTTTTCTGCAATTCAACCTTCTTTAAAAGTACGTTTCTTTTTCCTCTCTCTCCATAATGGTAAAAAAAAAATAAAAAGAAGTAAAGTTGTAATTTAGATAAAATCATTGGTTGAATATTTGCCAACAGTAGGCAAGTGAACACACTAGTGAAGTAGCTCACTTGCAGCCTGCATATCTTTTCCAGACACGCCACCTCTCATCGTAGATTATATTTTCGGAGAGCAATTCTTTTTACTCTCAAATTGCTATTAAAAAATTGTAATTAATATTCTAGTTCAAGAAGTCACAGCAGAAAAGCGTAGAGATCATTTGAAACTTGATGAATTAAAATATTTAGTCATTTTCATAAATAATCACTTCATTAAAATTCCAGATTGACCGAGCACCAACATTATTTGGTCGACAGCGCTCAAGATCGAGATCACGCTCGCGTACACACAACACGACTGCGTCCGATTCCAGTGGAGACGTCGACGATCGTACTTTCAGCGAAGTTATGTATAGTCTGTCAGGGAATTTCGGCGTTACAGGGCGAACTCTTAACGATCGATTTAGCTTTTAAATAGTGTCGCAAATTCGACTTTATATCGAATTCGTTACCAACGATACATTGGTAATTTACCCGTAATGCTAGAAATAGAAAGTAATTTTTGTTTTAACATGTAGACAAAATACTATTATTTTTCCTTTATTAAGTACGTGTGTGTTATTAATGTCAAATCATACTGTATTAATTAATCCGTCTTCACAAATATCTTATCATTTGCTTTAATCGAAAAATTGTAATTAACTACACCTGAAATATCGCTTCTTCACATCTGTTGTTAATATGTACAAATTATATTTTTAGGAAATATCGATAGATATTGTCATACTTTCACTTGGAGTACATAGTAGTATGCGATTCTTTATCTGTTTTATATGTCACAGGATTTTCATCTACGTGCAATAATTATCTATAAAATCTTGAGTATTTTTTCATTATACGAAATGTAGAGAAAAAGACATTTAAATACGCGTATAGCAATTTCGATTACAATTTATTGAAATTTTTACATTTAGTGTGGAAGAAGATTAAGTGATTACTATTTGTATATAAGATAGAGCGCATACTTTTCAAGTGTACTTTCTTTTGCTTTGAGAAATATACAGATTTTGGTGATTACTTTTATCCATTTTTTTAAATTAATATTGCATTCTAGATGATTTTTAAAATGTAAGTGCGAAACATTTGAATACCTATGTAATTCACATATGTGTACGTACATGGATTATATTTTTTTATATATTTAGCAAGAATTTTGGTTTAAGCTTTAATTTTCAAGATTATACAATACAATTAAAACACGTATTCGAATGGAGATTAAACTAATTTTTGACTTATATTCGGATTTAGTTAGCAATATAAGAGATTGTTTAATAAATAATCATATATTGCAAAGTAGATTTTATTAAATTATTGAAGTACAGTATAATCTGTAACGTAAAACATATGTACATACTCAACGTATAACTGGAAGCTGTTGGAACAAAGCTCAAAAGTTTTTGTCAAATGCATATCGTCCTATTTTTTTTTAAATGATTTTTATATTACATTTATATCACATATTTCTGATTCGGGCACGTTAGTTTTACATCGCTAACTTTATTCATTGTGTTATCCACTTCCGTGGTTAATATACAATGCGCATATTTATAATTATATCGTAGGTTTGTAATCGTAATTTTAAAAGCCTGAAAAAGTTTCCTCAAGAAGTGATAACGCGCACGCGACGCTGAATATTACGCAGTTGTAGAAATCCATTCGAAAAACGTGGACGATATTTTTAACGCGGGTATAGTGAAAAGTGAAGAGTGAAGTATCGTCCGAGAATAAATTGCGGTGGTACTTATCGCTATTACAATAAAAAAAGAAATGAGCATAATATACACTCATCGCCTACTCGGTTCAGTGTTGAATGTCAGTCATACGGATGTACACGAAGTATCCTCGTGAGTGTCTTGTAAATGATTCAAGTTTATGCAGGGTAACTGTCTGTCGAAATTGTAAACAAAACGTTCAATTTGTCGAGTTTTTTGGGTTTCAATCGTGAAACTTTATTCCTAGAATGGAAAGTGAAAAATGAACATTTTTACCATTGAAATTAATGGAGAAAATTTTCATCCTAGGAAAAAATGTTTCACAATTGATACCCTGAAGAACCACTCGCGGCGGACGCGTCTCGCTCGGCTCGGGTGCTTTTACCTAGTATGAGCTTTCCAGCAGAGGCACAAATCGATACAAGAGTCATTCTGTCTTTGTTTCTTACTGATTATCGAATAAGGACAGGATGACTCTTGTGTCAATTTGTGTCCTCTGCTGGGCCTATATTTGTAACTATTTTACACACCTATCGACAGTTGTCGGTGTCGTTGCGCAGCTTTTTCACCATATCAAATATTTGCGCAACGACACCAACAATTGTCAATAAACGTGTAAAACAGTTACAGAATATAGGCCCTGGAAAGCTCCCTTCATTGGTTAACTTAGTTTGCTCATTTTTGTAATTTTTACTTCGTCTAAAGAATCGTAATAAGCCCCTAGTATCTGGCCATGCCTTAAAAATGGCGTGCGTGTACGAAGTGTGTTTCCTCTCAATTGGTGATATGAATGTATGTGCGTTCTCGATTGGGACCGTATTCCAAATTTACTGCCAGCTTGAAAAATGCTACAGTTTACGTTACGTGCACTGTAGATTTTCAGTACTGGCAGTTAATTTTGGAACACAGTCTGATACTGCCATTGTGTGGGCTCGCCAATCACAAGAAAGGATGGAGAGATGGCCAGACTCTGGTATTCTAGGAACTCTAGGAGCCATTAATTAAGGAAGAAGACGAAGAAAAAATCCAAATTTGTCGATAACGTTACAGGAAGTGTGGATACTATTGTCGACGATATACATGCACAGTTGTACGTAATCCAAATTGTGCTTTTGTGCTGTCATCATGTCGTTTATGTCGTCTTCAGTAGGGATGTGCGCGCGAAGAATAAACAAACAGGTAAAGATAAACAATAAAATATAAATAAGAGTCCAGATAAAGCTAATGAGAGTCATATGCTATTATAAGAGTGGAGAGATAGGAGGAGATAATCCTCAGGTGTTATCTTCAATTTATTTCGGACGTTTCAGCTCCTTTATAAATAATGATTCACCTCAATTTTAAATGACACGTCATGTTATACATACACGAATTCTTAATCAGAAGAACAATATATATCTATTATACAGTGTAACTTTTTTAATCAATGTTATATAAATGTGAATCATTATTTCTGAGCTTCGTTTTTTATCGTTTCTCATTGAGTGTAATGTATGCTGCATTTCTGGTAATCTGCAAGTGACTTGTTCTCAATGGAAGATTTATGATTTTGTATTCGCTGAGGAAGACTCCAAAAGGAGCTGAAACGTTTGAAATAAATTGAAGATAATCAGCAACACCTGAGGATTATCTGCTTCTATCTCTCCGTTCTTACAACAGTGTATGACTCTCATTAGCCTTATCTGAACTCTTATTTATATTTTATTGTTTAAGATTGAGAGTCCTTATTTATATTTTATATTTATATATATTTATTTTAATTGTTTAGTTAAGAGATAATTTTATACCCATATTCGTAGTCCTTGTACTTAAGGCTTCCTTAAATTTATCTTTAGATGCTCGGTAACCAATGAAATAATTCATAGAGTATCTGAAGATCAATTTAAGGAAGCCTTAACCTTGAACACTAAACTATTTTCACCACCTGATTTCACCACACATGGATTACGGTAACCCTGGAGTCTTCTTTTGCTTTTATCCTGGGATCTAATGCATCAATGCAAAGAAAGTTTTTTTCCCTCCATTGCTCCCACTCCACACTTCTGACCGTTCATAAACGCCGCGCGTTTTTTCAAACGGACTGGGTTACCGTAACCCAGTGTGGTGTTCAAGGGTTAAATATAAGGCCTGACTATGAATACAAACGATACATCTTAAAAAGATAAATTACTTTGAATGTAAGATTAAATTATTTATATATATTATAAAAGAATTTAATCTTTAAAAAAATATATATATAAAATATAAAATAATAAGACTTCAAAGAAAAAAAAATTAATAAAAATATTAGCCAATATAAAATAACTTAATTCGTTAAAAAAATCTGCGTATACACAGATACGTTTACATAAGATACTTTGTTCTCTGTAGCTGTTAGCGCACAACACTTCGGTTATTAAACAAATGGTTCGGAATTTGGAGGTGCATGAGCACATGGCGTACACTTTATTAAGAGAAGCTGGCATTCCTACCCCACCTTTCTGGGTGGCGAAGACATCCGACGAAGCTGCCATTCTGGCCAAGAACCTAAATACGAAGGATCTCGTGCTGAAAGCACAAGTTCTGGCTGGAGGAAGAGCGAAGGGACAGTTTAAGGGTAGCAATGTTAGCGGCGTCGTAATGTGCGATACGTGAGTACGTGACAGAGCTGTAATTCACAGTAGAAAGAAATGAGAGGCCTAATCTCTTTCATTGCAGAATCGAACAGGTAAAAGAATTGACAGATAGTATGATTGGCAAGGTACTTGTAACTAAACAGACGGGAGCAGCTGGAAAGATATGCAATTCTGTGATGGTAACAACACGTATGTTTCCACGTAAAGAGTTTTACATGGCGGTGATGTTGGAACGTACCTTCGATGTAAGTATGAGCATATATAGTCCTATATTACTTTATAAGTTAATGAAGTATTAAGTATTTTACTCATCTCGTATATTAATGATTTACATTATTAGACGTATCATATTTTTTACGATTTATTGACTTCCAAGGATCAGCTTTATATTATATTATGACTCATTTGTCATTAATCGTAGAAATATCTAAAGAAAATATTCTATAAAAATTAACTATAAAATGGGTTTAATTTACCCATCGCTTATAATTGTAAGTTGCTGTCGCTCTTCCATCCAGAAATAATTTAATCTAAATACGCTATCGTTTATGTTTCATAAGGGGCCCATAATAATCGTTTCCAAGCAAGGTGGAGTAAACATCGAAGACGTCGCTGTTACGAATCCCGAAGCCGTAGCATATATACCGATTGACGTGAGGAAAGGTTTAACACCCGAGCAGGCGAACAGCGTCGCCGATAAACTGGGACTCACGGGGAACAGCAAGGAAATCGCGTCGCTCGTCGCCTCCAATCTCTACGACTTGTTCGTCGAGAAGGACGCTCTGCTGCTCGAGATCAATCCGTTTGCAGAAGACATCTGTGGCGAATGTACGCTGCAACGAATAAGATAAGAGAGATACGAAAAAACAAGAACACATAATAAGTCTTTCAATAATAAGACTAAATAATGTTATATTCTGCGTCTTATCACTGCAGATTACGCTCTGGATTGCAAATGCAAATTTGACGACAGTGCCGAATTCCGGCAGAAGGAGCTGTTCGCCCTAAAGGACACAACCCAGATGGACCCGAAAGAGGTCGAGGCAGAGAAGTACAACTTGAATTACATAGCTCTCGACGGAAATATTGGCTGCATGGTGAATGGAGCCGGATTGGCGATGGCCACTATGGATATCATAAAACTCTATGGCGGTATGCCGGCAAATTTTTTGGATGTCGGTGGCACCGCTACAGTCGAGACAGTAACGGAAGGTTTCAAGATACTATCTTCGGATCCAAATGTAATTAAAAAAATCGAGAGTTAAAATGATATAAAAAATTGATATATCAATGATCTTGCAGGTGGAAGCTATTTTGGTGAATATTTTTGGCGGCATAATGAGATGTGATATAATCGCTCAAGGGATAATAGACGCTACAAAACAGTTGAATCTGAACATACCCATAATCACGCGATTACAGGTGATTACCTTTAAGTTACATATATTAGCCTTGTAACATTTTTTTAACCACTTATTTCTTTGTAGGGTACTAATGTCGATAAAGCTAAACAATTGATATTGGATGCTAAGTTAAAAGTAATTTCCGTAGACGATTTTGCTCAAGCGGCCGAGACATCTGTCAAGTTAGCATCGATGATGAATATTGCGAAATCTTCGGATTTAGATATCACTTTTAGTACTAAATCGCCAAAAAAAATTTTTGAACAAATAAAAAACTAGTACCTTTGGAAGAGTTTGTCAAATATTTTGTATTTACATATTGATAAAATATATCTTTTTATACATACGCAAAACGTGTGTATGTTATTATTACATACGAGTAATAAAATGCTGATGATTCATAGGCCGGAATCCATAGTCCGTTCTTAATCTCAAGCACTTAAGACCATCTCGAATCTTGAGCAACATCTATGGATTCCGCCCATAGGTTTTAGGAATATTAAAATAATTTAATTATACAGGGTGTCTCGAGATTCGAGGACAATATTATTACAGCGTAAAATTTCGTGAAAAATCAAATCGAAAAGTCCTACCATTTTGCAATTTTCCAATAGTTGACAAAATATTAATTATTAAATATTGCCGTAATTATAAAATATTGGTTTTCAATAATTTTTTCGAAAATTATACTTTTTTAAATTGTTCCAAATCGTTCAAACCTTGTATAGCATTTTTTTGTCTCACATTATTCTAAAACAATATATATTGCTTTATTCCAAGTGATTCTCTAATAAAATTTTTGAACATTTACAATTGACCCCCTTTTTTCAAAAAAATCAATTTCTTGCATCGCTATAAATTGTTGATAGATAGATTTCTAGTTGTTTAAAACATTATTCCAAAAAGGATGATTCTATATATGTCAAATGAAAATCTAAAAAAAAATTTTTTTAGCTGGTCCTTTTTTTTCAAAAATTAAACAATTTCTTATCGCCACAAATTGCTCTAATTGTTCCACAAACATTCCAAAAGAGTAATTCCGTAAGTTAAACCAGAAATTTGAAAAAAAGAAAACATTTTTCGACAAACTGATTCTTGGACTAAGAGTAAACATACTTTCGTGTTTCAGTCGAGAACTTTTTGTTCCGAGGCTTCAAAAATTTGTCACACTATAAAAACGCATAAATAAAATAGCACCTTTTATACCGTATCGTCTGTCGTTTACTGGAAAGCACACAAAGTCAGAAAGATATTTGTGTCGATTTATATCACACTATGAAAAGCACCCAGTATGACTCGGTGTGATTTTCGCGTAAGGTGAGGTTCTGCGTAATGTGTTGCGCGTAGGAAACGTCAAACCTGGGTGGGGGCCACGAGGGGCAAAGGCGGTAAACTGTAAAGCTTCTGGCAGTCCACCACACTGAACGGTGAACACTCCCAGTCGTAGACCTCAGTGCCACAGTCCACGGCCGTCACTCAGGCAAAGATGGCTACCATGTTGTCGCGGGCGATCTCACTCGCGGAAAGTCTCGGTCGACTGAGCAGTCCCAAGGTATGTCAAGCCGATGGGTTTTTCCGCATTCATGTTAATCGCATGACTTTGGCGCGTTCGTACGAATGCGCCGGGTGACCCCGAGACTGATACGGATCGGCCGAAAAGGAAAGAAAAAGAAGGGTAAGCGAGTGCGAGCAAGACGGAACGAAGGTCGCCGATCGCCATATTGGACAGCTGTAGTCTGCTAAATCGAGCGCCAGGGTCGTGAGCGATTTGAAGCCGAGCCCCGAGGATCTCGTCTGTAGAATTTTCCCCCGATAGATCGGCGTGACAGTTACGCAACCGATCGGGAAACCGCCTCTCATGTCTTCCCCTCGATGTTCTCGTCGTCCGCCTTCGCGTTTTTATCGAATTACTGCTCGCTCGCGCGAGGGAATAAGTATACTTGTCAAATAGTCACTACGCGTCGGCCTCGATGCGATTGTTCTCAATAGCTTTTTGTTTCTCATCGAACGAGTCGAATAGAACGACGCGGATTCAATTTGAATTGAAATGAAAGAACAATCGATACTTCCGTGCCCTCCTCCCCCTACCTCGCGGCGTACGATCGATTGAAATCCTCGCTTCTTCTCTTTTTCTCGCTGGAATACAAATTTATTTTCAGCGATGAGACACGACCTTGACTTGCGACAACGACGCATGTGTTTTGGCTGTCAAAGTCATCGACGAGCAAATTAGCTAGGGATAAGAATTTTCAGTTAAAAAACCGATAGTATGTTTTTTTTTATGCGTGAAATTTTCCCAGCTTCGTTCTTGTTGTGACGATTTATCTGATCAGAATATCAATAATATTTTCGTAAATATAAATATATAAAGTAAATATAAATATTTATCTTTATAAATTATGAATTAATATTCCAACGAACACAGGATTTGCTTGAGCATTTACTAAGTTTCTATTTTTGTTTATCAATAACGTATGTTGTTTAACCCTTTGAAGGGCACATTTTTCTTTTAAACAAATTATTTAAATTATAGGTCATCTATGGGTTTTCGGGGTCGCTGATTACGATTCTTATGTCAGAATTGCAAAATAAATAATAAATAGACTTATAAAAGATCAAATTTCCAAAATGTTTTTCGGGAAAACTAGCGAGCAAAAAATTCCGAAAAAAATATATATTATAGTTTCAGATATGGAGTACACACATAAAAATTTTCAGAGCTTTAGCACTTCATGTTTAAGAATAGCCGAATTTATTCTGCAAAAAAAAACGAGTTTTTTTACATTAATTGTTTATAACAAAATTGCAAATAAAATTAACGTAATTTTTCATGAAAGTTGCATAACTTAGATCCCTAAGAATCTAAAAAGTACTCATATGCGCATACAAACTGCAAAATAGATCAGAAATATGAAAAAAACTAAGAACAAAAAGGTGGGACGTATACGTCCCTCAAAGGGTTAATATGTCTTGTTATATATGTAAGTAATAGCGAATTCGATTGGTGCACATTAAAGAATTCGTTGTACACAAATCGACGTATGTGTGTTTAATACAAACATAGAAATAACTCTCAATACACTTTATTATCTATTTGGTAAAATATGTATTGGGCATTTAACTATCCGAATTATTTTACATTTATATATTCAGATCAGTGTACAACGAATTTATACACCAATTCGCTCTAGTGCATTCAAATTCGCCGTAAGACTAGAATATGCATCCCGATAGAACAACGTTTATTAAATTATATGATCGTTATCTTACCTAAAATATATAATTTGCAATTATGCGAGTACATTTACAAAAGCAGATGTAGAAATTCTGACCTCTTCTAAAATATGAATGTTTGCTTAATTAATTTCGATGTAAATATTTCAGCAAAACAATATGGCGGAAAATTTACCAAATTGTTGAAAAAAAATTGTTCGATAATTGAAAAAAATATTTGTTAACTGTATTTTAGAAATATAAATAAAAATGTACTCATAAAAATGCATAATTGTCCTAAATTATAAATATTTTAACATAAAATATTATACATTCGATACAGTTAAATTTAAAATTTTAAAGTCAAACGGCTTTTGAGATACACTGATACACCTCCGATTTTTCGGAAATGTTCGTCGAATATTTGAAAATAATCAGATAACGTAGCTTGATTTGTTTCTTCAATATGCTGTCGGCGTTTCATTTATTATGTCCTTGAAAAAAAGTGAATTAAAAAATATCTACACTTTACATTAGATTTATCTAATTTTTGACAAATATCATTTTGAAATTTTATTCTGACGAAACTGTTGCTGTTATGGTAAATTATCGTAACGTAATCTAATTATTGCAAAATTGTTGTCATAATGCTATTATTGTGCAATGTTTTTATAATTGGCTTATCAAGCTAATAAGTATTAATTATGTGTTAAGACTTTCAGTCCTTAAACAAAATTTTTTATGATTAAAAAGATATTTATGATTAATATAAAGTTTGTATTAATTGCCTCAAAGTTGCGATTTACATATAGGTTATTAAAGAGAGGATCTGCAAATATTTTTTAATTATTCAAACATAAAGTTTCAGGTTGCTGAATCTAATATTAAAGCTGATAACTTAATTTAAATTAAAAATTGAACGTAAAAAATCCTTATACAAATGAATTATTCCAAAAATTTGAATGTTTTTAAATTTTGATTTTCATCATTGATGACTGATCAATGATCAGTGATCATATTGATCATTTTGAATTTATTAATTTTGACATGATATTAGTACTTACACCAATAGAGTTTATATTGATGTTTCGATATATGCTGCTAGTACTGAAAATCTGTAGTTCATATTATACTATAGATTTCAAGTATTGATAGGGTATAGCATTGTATTATATGTATATTGTTGCTTTGATGCAATAAATCTTCTCCAACACGTCGCATCATAATTATAACATGCTAATTGTAAAACAGTTCTTTTTGCAACTTTAACTTTGCAAATTTCTTAAAAATATGATACTATTATTGTTATAGAGCAATTTCTCAAATAGCACTGTAGTTAACAAAGCGTTAAAAAGGCGCGCATGTAAGCGCTAAAAAAGCTAAAAAATAGCTTTGTTAGGACTTTGTAAGCACTGTGTATTACTTGGGTTGGTAAACGGAATCATGTTTAGTGCCCGAACTGAGATTGTTCTTGTACTAAAAAAATTAATTTTTTGTTGAATAATATAATTAATTACTTCAAAGTTTTAAATGCAATTGATAGATGCAACAGAAAATAACAAGTGATATTAATTAATATTTTGAGAATATATTAGTTGTCTGTTTAAAACTTAATTTAAACTTATTTGTGTTCAAAGATTGCTGAAGAATTTATATTTAAAGAACGATAAAAGAATCATTTTAAACTGTTATACAATTCACTTTATTGCAAATGAAGTGTCATTGCCAAAACGCATGTAAAAGCTGTATGTAGGTAATGAACATGTGCATAGCTTATTGCCATTCAGCCTTCAAGTGTAGATTTATATTTAACTGTTACATGATTTATGACTGACAGACCAATTTGCATATACTTTAATCTACGCATGTTATTTTATCTTCTTGATATCAATACGCCGTGTAATTTTTATTTACATTTCTTTCTTAATTCTGATCAATGTGCAAAGTGTACAACGTAAACTTTGGCATACATTATTATTAATGATAATGACGCTAGAGTTGGGAGTATCTACTGCGTATGATCTAAAATACAAGAGTTATCACTGTACTTTTTTGTTACACCCTTTTTTAGATATTGGCGTGCAATACTAGCTTGATCAAACAACCTGCTAGGAATTTGAACGTTCATGAACACATTAGCTACAGTTTACTCAATGAGGCTGGCGTGCCGACACCTAAATTTGGCGTCGCCAAAACTCCTGACGAAGCAGCTAAACTCGCTGCCGATTTGAAGACAAAGGATATCGTCTTGAAAGCCCAAGTCCTTGCTGGCGGCAGAGGAAAAGGACACTTTAAAGGAACGAGCGTCAGCGGAGTGAAGATGTGTGAAACGTAATTACAGCCTTTTCGATTAGATTGGATGCGATATGTACTCTAGATGTGTCGCAAAATACTGTAGCTTATTATCATTGCTTATAGTCCAGAAGAAGCTAAGTCGTTGGCGGGTCAAATGCTCGGCAAATTACTGATTACAAAACAGACTGGCGAAGGTGGCAGAATATGCAACGCCGTGATGGTCACTCAGCGCATGTTTCCCCGTAAAGAGTACTACCTTGCTGTCATGATGGAAAGAGCCTTTGGTGTAGGTTTTTAAAATGATGAAAAGCGCATTTGAAAAGTTATTGCATTAAATTTCTAATGGATATTTTCCATTCCCAGGGTCCTGTCATAATAGCTTCCAGTCAAGGTGGGGTGAACATCGAAGAAGTCGCAGCGACAAATCCTAGCGCTATCATGTACGAACCTATTGACATCAATAAGGGAATTACGAAGGAACAGGCGGAACGTATAGTAGTCAAGCTTGGCCTCGATAACGTAAAGGACTACATTTCCAATATAATTATAAATCTTTACCAAATGTTCCTCAAGAAGGACGCTCTTCTTTTGGAAGTGAATCCTCTTGCCGAGGATATAAACGGGAATTGTAAATTTTTGTCTCTTTTAATATTCTATAAATGCTCGATTTGCACAAATCTTCCTACATATTTTCTTTTACAGACTTTGCTCTGGATTGCAAATGCCGGTTTGACGACAACGCCGAGTTCAGACAAAAGGGACTGTTTAATTTGAGAGACTGGACTCAAGAGGATCCTAAGGAAGTCGAAGCTGCGAAATTCGATTTAAATTACATCGCGCTCGATGGCAACATAGGTTGTATGGTGAACGGAGCTGGTTTAGCCATGGCTACGATGGACATTATCAAATTGCACGGTGGCGAGCCGGCTAATTTCCTCGATGTTGGCGGTGGTGCGTCGACTTCGGCGGTGAAGGAAGCATTTAAGATCATCACTTCTGATCCACGAGTGAGTGCACGAAATTAAGATTGAATTTCTATGATTTAACCGAATTTACATGCATTCTTTTTTTTCTATCAGGTTCATGCTCTCTTAGTTAATATCTTCGGCGGCATCATGAGATGCGACGTTATAGCAGAGGGTATTATCGCCGCGACTAAGGAATTAAGTTTAAAAATTCCCGTCGTTGTAAGATTGCAGGTACGACATGCGCTTTGTTTTACAAATAATTATTACGATGATTACAATTGCTTATGGAATTACACAAAGATTTTTTTTTCTTTACTTTTTAGGGTACTAATGTGGACGAAGCCAAGGCTCTGATCGCGAATGCGGGTTTAAAAATTGTACCAATCGATGATCTCGACGAGGCCGCCCGGGTGGCGGTAAAATTATCGACCATTGTTAAATTAGCTCAATCTGAAAATCTCAGTGTGAACTTCGAAATACCTGCAATTTCATAGGTAGCAAAAAAATAATTGATAATATATTACTAAGATTATTTTTGCCGAGAATATGTACTCAATTGTTAAAAGATTTCAGAAATGTCTGAAAGTAATAACTACAGTAATAACTTTATATGCGTAATGTATTCTCGTCAAAGAGTAATATTTTACACAATTCGATTTTTTGCGTAACTTTACAGAAAGAGGAAAAGAATAAAAAGTAAAATAGTTTTGGACAAGTCTGTGACATACAAAAGTGATACGACTGGAAGACATGATAAAATATTTAAAACGAAATAATAACGTATTGTTTTATGTGTGTATACACATAAACACATATACACACATATGTATATATTTATGGTAATCTTTCTCTTTAATACAGTCACGAACATTTGTAATACACAGAATTGTACATTACTCACGGAAACGCGTAATTTATCAGCGCTTACTCCTACAGCGCAGAGTTCTATGAGATTCAGTATTAAGAAAATTAAGTTATATATATGTAATATATTACCTATTTGCAAGCAACCGTTGCCCATGGAAATGTACTCTAGAGTGTTCAAAACCATCGATAAGATATTAGACATTAAAATAGACTATCAACTTTTTGAAATATTAATATAAATATTAGTTTATAATGCAGTGTTAAATTTATTATTTATTATTATACCAATGTTTCCTAAATAAGTGTACAAATTTACAATTCAATTTTGACAAAACTGTCTTTACGATCCGCATGAATAATCGTGCAGTTATAAATAAAAATCAAATATTATCTTGTTGAATGTACATGTCTATGAAAGGTTAAAAATTATAATAATAAATTGTAACAAAATAAAAAATGGTAAAATTAATATTGCATTATGAGCTAACTATCCAAATTTAGTCACACGAACGTCCGTAAGATTGTTGGTCTTTAAAAGAATCTTATCGGTATCAAAATTAGTAACAAGTATATGTTTATTTTTTAAAACCTTTCACAACAGCCATTTACATAAAAAACCGTGGAATGTCGAAAGTAAAAGACCTGTTCCATGTAACATAATATATGTAGTGATATATATGTATACATAAATTATTTTGCATAACTTTAGTTTTTCATTCCTTCAATAAACAGTTATATCATCCGCACGTTGCTGTTGTCGAGTTATACTAATATCGATATAAATTTTTATTTGATAGATAATCATCGAGTAAATCTATATACGTCAATATATTTATTCTGTTATTTAACAAATTGTAATTACAAGATTATCGTTAATACTGCCATGTAAAGATGTTAAATAGTCATAAGGACTTTGATAATTTCTGTAAAATATGAAGTACCGCTTGTTTCTTACCGCGAGAGGAGAAGGCCCTGCGCACAATAGAAGGAATAAGGAATTAGGAATAAAGATTAAACAATTTTAACCTATCAGAAATCGGATAGATCGGAATACACGGTTTCTGATAGGTTGAAATTGTTTATTCTTTATTCCTTCTATTGTACGCAGGGCCTAAAGCCCGATTGCATCAACAGTTGGCTACGTTTACACCGTGTGCTTAGTCCGCGACCTATACGATAGGTGTCTTTGTTTAACCTACGGGATAAACC